TGAGACCCATGAACAGATGATAAAATATTATGACATATGAAAATTCAAGACTATATATATATCTCTAATACTTCTATGAATAGATGAATTTGTGCATTTGCACGTTCGTTCATATCATATGGATTTTGCCAAAAGAAAGAAGGGATAGCCTTAACACACCTAGAGTAGGGAAACTCCATATAATATTCTTGAAGATTGCATCATACTATTTTAGAATCGCAAAACTTGTACGTTGTTAAGCTTCCAATAATTCTTGTTAGGCTTTTGGTTGGAAAATATTTTTTTGAAGATTTCTAAGTTCTGGGTTCAAGTGTTTTTGGTTGAAGATGGCTAACTTTCTTTTGCAAGAATTATGATTGTCTTGCCATACAAAGTATAACAAGTAAAGTGACTTATACCTAATGATTTTTGTGGCTAACGGTTTTGTGCAGAATGGTAATGTCTTTCTTATACAAAGTGTAAAGGTGAGGTGTCTTTTACTTAATGAATTAAGTGGCCACCTACTTATAAGTAAATATGAGTCGCTTTCCTAATTAGTGGCCTTTTGCCACATTTTAAGGGGTTAATTTAATCAATTACCCGCATAATTTAAAAATTATCTCAAATTACTTAAAATTCTATTTATTTTTAATATATTTTATACATCGTAATACTGTGGTCGTATGGTACCTTGCATGGTATTAGTTCATAATTATCGGGAATTATCGCTCGACCCGTATTTTATCCCAAATGCCAAACTTGGACGAAAATTCGTTTCCTTTGACTTGCTTCCCCACTCACCTTCATGAATTTATTTTTTACTTGTTTGAAATAGCATAATCCTTATAATCTCCGAATAATCTTTTCCTTAGACTGGTGTCAATTACCTTATGACAAATTCAACGTATAATACTACAGGGTGCAACATCATCGTAATGTAGTACTGCGGGATGTGACATCTCACTTTAGGGCTTTCATTAATTTATTTATGGCGTGTTTTCATGTACGAAAATATAGGGTGTAACAGTAGTATCGAGTACAACGTATAAGTGTGGTGACGAGTATCTATACGTTGATGTCAAGCATGCGCGTGAGTCTTATATCATAATTGTTGTGACTCTATTATGTATTGATCATGCTCAAATTGAAGATTATTAATGTTGAACAAAGCTTATGAAAGTTTCTTGGTAATTGATTATGGTTGAGAATTGGCACAAGTTGAGTTTCATTTAGTAGAGTAATTGTTGAAAACGAGATTGGTTATAGCTGAATCCCTTGCTGGGATGTTATTGTTGATATTGTTGATTCCCTTGCCGGTACGTTATTATTGATATTGTTGATTCCCTTTCCGGGACTTATTGTTTCCATTGTTTGGGTGAGGAAGAGTATAAAGCACGAAGGGTGATGTCGTGCATGATATTGTGAGTAAGTATAATACACGAAGGGTAATGTCGTGCCGATATTATGAGTGTTAATGCACGAAGGGTGATGTCGTGCCATGATTTGAGAGTTAATGCTTTTAAGGGTGATGTCGTGCCGATATTATGAGTGTTAATGCACGAAGGGTGATGTCGTGCCATGATTTGAGAGTTAATGCTTTTAAGGGTGATGTCGTGCCGATATTGTGAAGTATAATGCACGAAGGTGATGTCGTGCCATGATTATGTGAGGTAAAGCACGACGGGTGATGCCGTATCGTCTCTGTTATTTCATATGGTGAGGACGAGAGTAAAAGCACGAAGGGTGATGCCGTGCACGTGTTACCGTTTCATCATTTTGTTGATATAGTTGTGATGTCATTATGCTTCCTTATTAATGCTTCTTTATTGGTCTATTGTTAGAATATGAGATTCCCCGCAGCATGTCCCATTCCCACCTTATCCTGTTGATTCCTGTTATTATGATTTTGTCTGTATATGATTCAACTGCACATGTATATATGATTGTCGTGTCCTAGCCTCGTTACTACTTAGTCGAGGTTAGGCTCGACACTTACTCAGTACATGGGGTCGGTTGTACTGATACTACACTCTGCACTCTTTTGTGCAAATTTTAGTACCGGACCCGGTGAGTAGCTCAGGTAGCTGCCTTCAGTCCAGGGAGACCAAGGTAGATCTGCTGGCGTCCGCAGAGCCTGGAGTCCCCCTTCCCTGTTTTAATTTTATGCTATCTCTCTTTTTTTTTAGAACAATTGTACTTTCTTTTTAGACTAGTATTTGTAGTAACTCGTAGATGTTCGTGAAGTCGTGACACCAGATCCGAGGGTAGACTTGTATTGGATTATTTGATCATGTTATAACTCTCCGCATTTATCATCTGCTTAACTTTAGTTTTTGCTTATAACTGTTTGGGATTGATGGTTACTGTGTAGAACCCTAATAGTTGGCTTGTCTAGCTTTCACGAGTAGACGCCATCACGACTCTCGAGGGTGAAAAATCGGGTGGTGACATTCCCTTTTTGTTTGTTGGTTGTATGTGTGTACAGTGTGTTTTGGTGCGTGTGTGTGTGTTTTATGAAAAATGGAGAGGCTGGCAGCAGCTCTTCTTATGATTGGTGGTGTTTTGGGGCGGAGAAGAAGTGGCGGTGACATGGATGATTGTTGGAGCTCGATGGCTCATCGTCCAACTTGTCGGAGAAGGAAGCGGCGGCGGAGATGGAGTTCAGAGAGGAATTAGGGTTTTGGTAGTGTGTAGAGGAAGAAGGTAAAGAGAGGGTCACGACTGGTTAAGAGGGTGTGTTCTTAGGGTTTTTGTTAAGGAGATGAAGAAGAAGGGTTCGTTGAAAGTCTTAGTGTTGGGAGATGATCACTACTTCTTCTTTTTTTGTAAGGGAGGGTGGCCGTTTTTTAGGGTTCAGCCGCTAGCTTAGGGTCATTAGGAAATTAGGCTTTTTTGTGGGTTTAAAGGTATTGAGCTCAAAAGGATAGTCCAATTTTGGGCTTGAATTTAGGAGATTGGGGTTGGGTCCATGTCTTATTAGGGTTTAACTTTGGGGTAAGAAGACTAAATAACATAATCTATCTATAAAATATAAAAATCGCTCTTAATTAAAATAAATTACTAAAATAAAACTAAATACTAAAATTTTATTTTTAATTTTATGAATGGTAGATAAACTAAAAGTAACTAGATAAAATATCAATTAGCTAAATAAAAGAAAATATTTTTTGTAATTTTTATTTTTGTGATAAAATAAAATAAAAGAATCAAAACTAATTAAAATAGTAATATTAGATCTAAACTAAACATTTAAATGTTAACATGTGTAAAATATCGGGGAGTGTCAAAAATTAATGTATACAATAATGGAGAATAATATTGTGGAAACCATGACATAGGGTGCATTACGTAGGTGATGTCCAACGGTATAGTTGACTGATGTTCACACATAAATAGTTTAGAGATTCTCTCTCTCTCCCAGCAGTATACTTGACTGACGTTCACTATAAGTATACTATAAAAACTTAATTTTGGATTTAACTAATGATTGTGTAATTATTTTAAATTATCAGTGTAATTTTTCGAAAGAGGAGTCTTGTAACAACGGTAAAATTATCTCTATGTGATTTATAGATCACGGATTCGAGTCGTAAAATTAACCGCTAATACTTGTATTATGATCGATTTTTTATATCACACCTCTTAAGGTGCGACACTTCTCCGATCCATGAGTGAACACGAGATATAATTACTAATGAGTAGTTACTGTAATAATATGAATTTTGATGAGTAGTTACTGTAATAATATGAATTTTGATGAGTAGTTACTGTAATTATATGAATTTTGATGAGTACTTACTGTAATTATATTTTAGATAAGACGATGATATAATAACTTTACTCTATGAATATAATGTATATAAACGTTTAGGAATTCGCACAATTCATTAAAATTATTTAATCAACAAATTCTCAATTGGAATATTCGTACTTGAAAGTTGAAAGTGGCTAAAGTGTGTAGCACCCGTGTGCCAAAACTCCATCTGTTTCCTGAGAACTAGACACAAAATTTCTGTCCCCATTTACCCACACTGAAAATAACAAAAAAACATACTATTCTTTTTTTATTAATTAATCATATTCTAAACTTTGGCAACTCACTATTTCAACCACGTGCTATAAAACCCTTAGTCTTAACAAACATTGTTTAATATATAGAATAGAATAATGTAGACCCCATCAAAAAGAATTTTGGTAGAATGCTAAATTAATTGCTAACTACTCTTTTATTATATATTTCGATTTCGAATTCTGGATATGAAATTATCTTGTTAGGGAACGTTTTAGAGCCCGTTTGGATTAGCTGATTTAAAGTAGCTGATAAGCATTAGGTGCTGAAAAACACTTTTAAGTGCTGAAATTGATTTAAAAAGTAAGTAGTTACGTGTTTGGATAAAAGTGCTGAAATTAAATAATAAGCAGCTGAAGAACTAGGTATATGAAGAGTTTTGTTTTAAAAAGAAGTATTTTAGAATAGAATAATAAATATTTTGGTCAAACTTAAAGTGCTTATAAGCTGAAATTTGATAAGTTGGGGAGACCAACTTATGGCTATTGACTTATTTTTGGCTTATAAGCACTTTTAATTTTACCAAACGCGTAAATAAGCCAAAAAGTGTTTATAAGCCAGTTTGACCATCTTATACGCTTAGCCAAACACCCTCTTAGTCTTAATTTAAGATCTTTGGAGTATTTTTTGGCAGGGGCAAAGTTAGAATTTTGTAAAGAGTGCTCAAATTTATATATATCTATAAATAGAAATTTTTGACTTACATATTTAGTATATAATTTTCTATATATTCAGTAATAGAATATGACCTAGTCGTGGAATATGACCTAATTAAAAATTTGAAGAAAAGAACACTTTTTGCAGTTTTTTTATTCTTAGCCAACTTATTTCCGTGTGCGCGTCAATATCGTAGCCACGTGCTCCTCCTTTTACTTGCTCTTCTTTCTTCATAATCCAACTATATCCAAATCTATAAATACCACTTCAAAACTTTCAGCAAATTCTCAAAACTACACAACCAACAAATTCAACAACGTACTCTAAAGCCATATATAGCACTTCGCTCACTATACAAAGTTTGACTATCATCGACTATTATAACAATCGCGACTATTTCAAGAAAACCAACGATGACTAATATTAACTCGATTTCGTGCTCGTTGGATTCCAATCACTCGCAAGAAACATCATCATCTTCGTCTGAAAGATCATCATCAGCACCCGACGAAGGAATTATCCTATTAGCTTCGAGTCGACCCAAGAAACGAGCAGGGAGAAAGAAGTTCAAGGAAACTCGCCACCCGATTTATAGGGGAGTGAGGAGGAGGAACAATAACAAGTGGGTTTGCGAGCTACGCGAGCCTAGTAAGCAGAAAAGAATATGGTTAGGAACTTATCCTACACCAGAAATGGCGGCTCGAGCTCATGATGTAGCTGCATTAGCACTTAGAGGTAATTCCGCTACTCTAAACTTCGCTGACTCCCTTTGGAGGTTGCCAGTGATAGTATCAAAGGATCCTAAGGACTTACGCCAGGCTGCTGTAAAAGCAGCCGAGGCGTTTCGTCAGGATCCTGAGTTAGTTAGGGTCGACTATATGAACGAAGAAGTTAATTCAAATGAGGAAGTAAAGTGCCAAGAGAATTTTGTTAATGGAAATGGCAATGATATGGGGGTTAAGGAAGTGAAAATGAAGAATATGGAGATAGAAAATATTTTTTGTTCTAATTGGGGAGAAAATAGTGAAGAATCATGGCAAGAAAAGATGGCAGAGGGGCTTTTGTTTTCACCAACTCCTCGTTTAGGTAATTGTTTCAGTTGGGATGACGTGGAGATTAGTGACGTTGAAGTGTCTTTGTGGAATTATAATATTTGATTGATGTGCAGTTAGAGGCTCATTCAAAATTTAAACATTATTAGTTTCAACTCGAAATTTTACCACAATAATATAATTGACTTACTACCTTCGAGATCAATGTTAATTTGTGCTTGTTTGACATAACTTTTAGCGCATTCATAATATTGCGCTAAAGTTATTCAAACGAACCCATAAATTCGATGCAGACTTAGCAAAAGATAGGACATAATGGAAGAGTGACGTTGAAGTGTCTTTGTGGAATTACAATATAATATTTGATTGATGTATGTGCAGTTAGAGGCTGATTGAGAATTTAAACATTATTAGTTTCAGTTCGAAATTTTACCACAATAGAATTCAATTGACTTGCTACGTTCGAGATCTACGTTAATTTGGACTTGTTTGATAAAAAGTTTAACGCATTTATAATATCACGCTAAAGTTATTCAAATGAACCCATAAATTATACATTAGATCTCCATACCTGCGCCTAACTAGCATTTTGAAAAAGGAAACGAAAAGAAAAAATAGCAGAGTTTTATATGTTTATGTAAATGTTTTTTATATTATTTGTTCGATTATAATAAGATATGTAATACTACGTTTCATATTATCATGCCGCATTTAGTATAACTTCGTCCGTTGCGAGCTCGCTCCCATTGTCGGTCCAAACCCTGATAAATGGTGAGGGTTGTGGTAAGCTAGCAACCAGTGTAAAAATCGTCAATTCATGATGAATCCTTGGGATCAAAATAGGCTTAGCTAAAAATAAAGCACAATGAAAGATAAGAATCTTTATACTACCAACTAGTAATTGGGAATAGTTTTAAACTTGATAGAGAACTTTTTTGTTGTCATTATTTTTACTATTATTTATATATATTTATCTACTTTACTTGTACTTTTATTTTGTTGTGGTAATAATGATGATTTGAGTTGAGCTAAATGAAAGGAATGAAGATTCATATTGTCAACTTCAACTTGGTTGAGTCTGGGGCAGAACTAGAGTGTCGGAAACGAGTTAGGATAACTTTGGTTTGAACTCTGTACTGTCTTAAAAATTTGTTGAATATATATAAATTATTGATTTAAAATTCAGTAACTTAAAATGATTAGAATCTAGAATACATAAGCTTGAAATCCTGACTCGAATATTATCGTGTGTTAACTTAACCTAAAAAAATAAAACTTATTTTATAGACATATATGTCACTAGGAACTCGTAGTACGTACTTGAAAGTGGCAAAAGTGTGTAGCATCCGTGGGTCAAATCCTTGAAAAACAAAGTCTCTTTCCCACTGACCCAAACTGGAAACGACAAGAAAAAACATACTCTTATTTTATTATTATATTCTAAACTTTGCCAACTCTCTACTTCAACCACGTAGTCTTTATTTATATTTTTCTATTCACAAACATTTATTTTATTATATCTATAGAAGCTACATACCCCCACGAAAAAGAAGAAGAAGAAGAAAACAGATGATTGTTGAAGTTTGGCAAAATGCCAAAGTCCCACATTGGTTGGGAGTTAAGTTTGGAGGGGATTTTTCCCCTATAAAAGAAGGCCTAATGTTTAGGATTGAAACACACCTCTCATTTGCCTTCTCATCTGTTTAAGGCATTTGTATCTTCTCTCTTTAGTATTATTTCACTTGTATTTTTGGAGTGAAATAAAATATTGGTTGTGTCCGAGGAGTAGGCAAAATTAGCCGAACCTCGTAAATTCTGGTGTTCCCTTTATTGTTGTTTTATTGTCTTATTTATTATTTGGTGGCTGTCATAATTTTTGGTATAGTAGTTGTGACTTATTCACACTATATACATTTGGCTTCCGCAACAATGATAACTGTCCAGTGGTCATTTCTTGTTGTATAATATTTTGCAAACTGATTTAAATTCTATAAGTTTAGTTCTTAAGGTTCTTATCATAAACCTATTTTATTTTTAAAATTATGAATTCATATTTATTATTTATTTAATTTTAGAAAAATTACGCATAAATTTGTGATCCACATCGAAAGTTAGGAGTTCAGTTGAATTCGGTATTAAAAGACTGGATTCGCCTATGAACATTATAGCCATGTGCAAATGAAGAAATTTCATCTAACAACCGTGAAATGGATGGTCTTCATATTTGGATCCCTCGCTTGTCCCATAAATAACCTTTAAGGTCTAAAGTGTTACAGATAAAGTATGCGAGGTAGTGCTGTTCATTCGGATCGGATATCCGAAATTCGAATCGATCCATTCAATTTTGAATTTCGGATTTCGGATTGGATCGGATTTCGGATTATGTTTATTAAATTTCGGATTTCGGATTGGATCGGATTTCGGATTATGTTTATTAAATTTCGGATTTCGGATCGAATTTCGGATTGGTATATTTTAATCCAATCCAATCCGAAATCCGAAATTATTAGGACATGTATAAATACTACACTTTAATTTACATCAACCTCCAAGTTATTACCTTTACAATTGCTAGATTTAGCTATATTGGCACCATAGTACTCTCATAATTGCATAAACATGAATTTTTCTTAATGTATTGCCTCTTTTACAAAGAAAATATACATATTAGTTTAACTTTGAGGCATAATAATACGATCCGATATCCGATCTGATCCAAACTTTAAAATCTGATCTGATCCGATATAATTCGGATCGGATTCGGATTGCATTTTCTAGAATCCGAAATCCGAAATTCGAATCCGAAATATGCTAAATCCGATCCGATCTGATCCGTGCACAGCCCTAGNTATAATTTGGATCGGATTCGGATTGCATTTTCTAGAATCCGAAATCCGAAATTCAAATCCGAAATATGCTAAATCCGATTCGATCCAATCCGTGCACAACCCTAATGCGAGGGGCAACACCTTACTAAACTTAGGGGTCGTTTGGTAGGGTGTATAAAAATAGTGCGGAATAAGGTGTATTAGTAATGCATAGATTAGTAATGTATGTGTTAGTAATGCTAGCATTAGTTATGCAGATATTATTTCTTATCTATTATTTGGTATGATGTATTAAAATTATAATGCATTGCATAATTTTTTAAAAACATAGTTGTTTACAAAAATGCCTCCCATATTCTTTAGATTTAAGGGACTTTAAGGACAATTATGTCTTTAACCATACTAATGCATGCATTAATAGTCTTGGTATTACTAATGCCATGATTTTCTATGTATTACTTATACATAGGATAATACCAAGTATGATGCATAGAGTCTTGATAATACCAGGTTAATTTTACTTATAATACATAGGATAATAGTCTTGATAATATCAGGTTGAAAAAATGTATCAAACAATGTATTAGTAATGTATATAGCTAATACTTGCATTATTTTTTCTAATACCTCCTACCAAACGACCCCTTAAAGTTTTGCCTATGGTAGGCTTGGGGTAAAAAAATTAATAGTGACACCAAAATGTTCTATTTGTGCAAATCACCCTTTGGAAATTGGGTTGTCAATTGGGCTGAGCTTGATTTGGATTGGGTCATTAGGAAAAAAGAATGGGCCTAGTTTATCTTCGAGAAAATGGGCCTAGTTTATCTGCAAAAAAGTGGATTTAAAGCACTCAAAATGGTTAGTTCAATGGTTAAAGAACCATAATTTCAAGTAAAAATAGCATGGATTAGCCAGTTTTCAGATTGGTAATCGAAAAATAGTCAGCATTTGCAAAGTCATTAAAAATAGCCACTATTTAGCTACAACACGGAAAGTTACAGCATGATATACTGGAGATTGGCGCACCTGTATATGAACTTCCAACATATTATGTTAGAACTCCAACACGAAAAGTTCCAGCATAATATACTAGAGATTGGAGCACCTATATATGAACTTCCAGTATATTATGCTGGAACTCCAGTATATTATGCTGGAATATTTTTCGGATTTTGAACAGTATTTTCGTTCAGATTTATCTTTACATGAAAAGTGGTTAAATTTTGATTAATTTTGAAACTGTGACTATTTTTCAATTACCACTGATAAATCTAGCTGTTTTTTTAATTTCACCCTAATATCAATCCCAATACGCTTAGATTAAAGGCCAGCTCACTTGGTATAATTATTTAGACATTGTCGTAAATACAAGAATAGTATTAAGTTGAATATTATCGCCTTATAAATACTCTTTAATCCTTGAAAAGGTATTTTGGGAGTATATATGCCAAGATTCCAAAATCCCACATTGATGGTATCTTATATTTGTGACAATGAAATTTAGTGCTAAATTACAACTGTTTTTGGTAGTACGTCTAGATTCCAAAGTCCAAAGATAGTAAGTACTCCCCCGTTTCAATTTACGTGAACTCGTTTGATTGGGCACGAAATTTAAGAAAAAATAAATTTTTTTGAAATTTGCGGTCTTAAACAAGTCAAAAAGGGGTCTAGAGTATGTGTGTGATTATAAAAGTTTCTTATTAAGGGTAAAATTGTAAGTTTAAGCTAAATTGTTTCCAAATTTAGAAAGGAACCATTCTTTTTGGAACGGACCAAAAAGGAAATAGGTTCACATAAACTGAAACGGAGGTCTCATTAGTCACAATGATATTGAGTGCTAAATAATATTCTCTGACTTAATTTATGTCGCACTATTTTTAATTTCGAGCAAATTTCTTAATTTTGATTGTGAATTTAAACATAAAATTTTAAGTTTTTTAAAATAAAAATTACGTAAATAACACATTAAGTTATATAATTTAAATCATTAAATATATATATATATATATATATATATATATAAAATTATAATAATAAATAATTATTTAACTCTCAAAATTTGAACAAACACTAAATAAATTAAAACAAAGGAAGTCATTGTCTTCATTTATAACTTGTAGGGTGTGGACCCAAGCCACAGAAATCTTGCCACCATTTTATAATTTGTGCATCATCTTTGGTAAGCTTGGCCTCATTCTCTCGACATCTCTTTTTTTCATTATTCAACATTTTTAAACTTATGTAATTGGGTTTATGACAATCAAATTTTTCCATTGATGGTGTTATAGATAAAGATGAACCTATGTGTAATATTAAGAAGTCACCGGACATCACAAACTTCGGTACAAATTTTATATATGTATA